GGACCTCCATGGGGGTTAAGGTTAGGTGTGGGGAGGGCCTGGACCTCCATGGGGGTTAAGGTTAGGTGTGGGGAAGGCCTGGACCTCCAGGGGGGCTATGTGCAGGTGTGGGGGCGGCCTGGATCTCCATGGGGGTTAAGGTTAGGTGTGGGGGCGGCCTGGATCTCCAGGGGGGCTATATGCAGGTGTGGGGGCGGCCTGGATCTCCATGGGGGTTAGGGTTAGGTGTAGGGAGGGCCTGGACCTCCATGGGGGTTAAGGTTAGGTGTGGGGGCGGCCTGGACCTCCATGGGGGTTAAGGTTAGGTGTGGGGGCGGCCTGGACCTCCATGGGGGTTAAGGTTAGGTGTGGGGGCGGCCTGGACCTCCATGGGGGTTAAGGTTAGGTGTGGGGAAGGCCTGGACCTCCAGGGGGGCTATGTGCAGATGTGGGGGCGGCCTGGATCTCCATGGGGGTTAAGGTTAGGTGTGGGGAGGGCCTGGACCTCCTTGGGGGTTAAGGTTAGGTGTGGGGAAGGCCTGGACCTCCAGGGGGGCTATGTGCAGGCGTGGGGGCGGCCTGGATCTCCATGGGGGTTAAGGTTAGGTGTGGGGAAGGCCTGGACCTCCAGGGGGGCTATGTGCAGGTGTGGGGGCGGCCTGGATCTCCATGGGGGTTAAGGTTAGGTGTGGGGGCGGCCTGGACCTCCATGGGGGTTAAGGTTAGGTGTGGGGAGGGCCTGGACCTCCATGGGGGTTAAGGTTAGGTGTGGGGAGGGCCTGGACCTCCATGGGGGTTAAGGTTAGGTGTGGGGAAGGCATGGACCTCCAGGGGGGCTATGTGCAGGTGTGGGGCGGCCTGGATCTCCATGGGGGTTAAGGTTAGGTGTGGGGGCGGCCTGGACCTCCAGGGGGGCTATGTGCAGGCGTGGGGGCGGCCTGGATCTCCATGGGGGTTAAGGTTAGGTGTGGGGAGGGCCTGGACCTCCATGTGGGGTTAAGGTTAGGTGTGGGGAGGGCCTGGACCTCCTTGGGGGTTAAGGTTAGGTGTGGGGAAGGCCTGGACCTCCAGGGGGGCTATGTGCAGGCGTGGGGGCGGCCTGGATCTCCAGGGGGGTTAAGGTTAGGTGTGGGGAGGGCCTGGACCTCCAGGGGGGCTATGTGCAGGTGTGGGGGCGGCCTGGATCTCCATGGGGGTTAAGGTTAGGTGTGGGGGCGGCCTGGACCTCCATGGGGGTTAAGGTTAGGTGTGGGGAGGGCCTGGACCTCCATGGGGGTTAAGGTTAGGTGTGGGGGCGGCCTGGATCTCCATGGGGGTTAAGGGTCTATAGCCTCAGTCCTGGGTCTACAGCCTCAGTCCTGGGGCTATAGCGTCAGTCCTGGGTCCACAGCCTCAGTCCTGGGTCTAGAGCCTCAGTCCTGGGTCTACAGGCTCAGTCCTGGGATACAGCCTCAGTCCTGGGTCTACAGCCTCAGTCCTGGGTCCAGAGCTTCAGTCCTGGGTCCACAGCCTCAATCCTGGGTCTAAAGCCTCAGTCCTGGGTCTACAACCTCAGCCCTGGGTCTATAGCCTCAGTCCTGGGTCTACAGCCTCAGTCCTGGGTCTGTAGCCTCAGTCCTGGGTCTACAGCCTCAGTCCTGGGTCTACAGCCTCAGCCCTGGGTCTACAGCCACAGTCCTGGGTATACAGCCTCAGCCCTGGGTCTATAGCCTCAGTACTGGGTCTACAACCTCAGTCCTGGGTCTACAGCCTCAGTCCTGGGTCCAGAGCTTCAGTCCTGGGTCCACAGCCTCAATCCTGGGTCTAAAGCCTCAGTCTTGGGTGTAGAGCCTCAGTCCTGTGGTCTACAGCCTCAGTCCTGGGTCTACAGCCTCAGTCCTGGGTCTACAGCCTCAGCCCTGGGTCTATAGCCTCAGTCCTGGGTCTACAGCCTCAGTCCTGGGTCTACAGCCTCAGCCCTGGGTCTACAGGCTCAGTCCTGGAACAACAGCATCAGCCCTGGGTCTATAGCCTCAGTCCTGGGTGTACAGCCTCAGCCCTGGGTCTATAGCCTCAGTCCTGGGTCTACAGCCTCAGTCCTGGGTCTACAGCCTCAGCCCTGGGATACAGCCTCAGTCCTGGGTCTACAGCCTCAGTCCTGGGTCTAAAGCCTCAGTCCTGGGTCTACAGCCTCAGCCCTGGGTCTACAGCCTCAGTCCTGGGTCTACAGCCTCAGTCCTGGGTCTACAGCCTCAGTCCTGGGTCTATAGCCTCAGTCCTGGGTCTACAGCCTCAGTCCTGGGTCTACAGCCTCAGTCCTGGGTCCAGAGCTTCAGTCCTGGGTCCACAGCCTCAATCCTGGGTCTACAGCCTCAGTCCTGGGTCTACAGCCTCAGTCCTGGGTCTACAGCCTCAGCCCTGGGTCTACAGCCTCAGTCCTGGGTCTACAGCCTCAGTCCTGGGTCTATAGCCTCAGTCCTGGGTCTACAGCCTCAGTCCTGGGTCTACAGCCTCAGTCCTGGGTCCAGAGCTTCAGTCCTGGGTCCACAGCCTCAATCCTGGGTCTACAGCCTCAGTCCTGGGTGTAGAGGCTCAGTCCTGGGTCTACAGCCTCAGTCCTGGGTCTACAGCCTCAGTCCTGGGTCTACAGCCTCAGTCCTGGGTCTACAGCCTCAGTCCTGGGTCTACAGCCTCAGTCCTGGGTCTACAGCCTCAGTCCTGGAACTACAGCCTCAGTCCTGGGTCTACAGCCTCAGTCCTGGGTCTACAGCCTCAGTCCTGGGTCTACAGCCTCAGTAGCCCTGGGTCTACAGCCTCAGTCCTGGGTCTACAGCCTCAGCCCTGGGTCTACAGCCTCAGTCCTGGGTCTACAGCCTCAGTCCTGGGTCTACAGCCTCAGTCCTGGGTCTACAGCCTCAGTCCTGGGTCTACAGCCTCAGTCCTGGGTCTAGAGCCTCAGTCCTGGGTCTACAGCCTCAGTCCTGGGTCTACAGCCTCAGTCCTGGGTCTACAGCCTCAGTCCTGGGTCTACAGCCTCAGTCCTGGGTCTACAGCCTCAGTCCTGGGTCTACAGCCTCAGTCCTTGGTCTACAGCCTCAGTCCTGGGTCTACAGCCTCAGTCCTGGGTCTACAGCCTCAGTCTGGTCTACAGCCTCCTCAGTCTGGGTCTAGCCTCAGCCTCAGCTCATCCTGGATCTACAGCCTCAGTCCTGATCTACAGCCTCAGTCCTGGGGTCTACAGCCTCAGTCCTGGGTCTACAGCCTCAGTCCTGGGTCTACAGCCTCAGTCCTGGGTCTACAGCCTCAGTCCTGGGTCTACAGCCTAGTCCTGGATCTACAGCCTCAGTCCTGGTCTACAGCCTCAGTCCTGGGTCTACAGCCTCAGTCCTGGTCTACAGCCCAGTCTGGTCTACAGCCTCAGTCCTGGGTCTACAGCCTCAGTCCTGGGTCTACAGCCTCAGTCCTGGATCTACAGCCTCAGTCCTGGATCTACAGCCTCAGGCCTGGGTCTGCAGCCTCAGTCCTGGGTCTACAGCCTCAGTCCTGGGTCTACAGCCTCAGTCCTGGGTCTACAGCCTCAGTCCTGGGTCTACAGCCTCAGTCCTGGGTCTACAGCCTCAGTCCTGGGTCTACAGCCTCAGTCCTGGGTCTACAGCCTCAGTCCTGGGTCTACAGCCTCAGTCCTGGGTCTACAGCCTCAGTCCTGGGTCTAGAGCCTCGGTCCTGGGTCTACAGCCTCAGTCCTGGGTCTACAGCCTCAGTCCTGGATCTACAGCCTCAGTCCAGCCTCAGTCCTGGATCTACAGCCTCAGTCCTGGGTCTACAGCCTCAGTCCTGGGTCTACAGCCTCAGTCCTGGGTCTACAGCCTCAGTCCTGGGTCTACAGCCTCAGTCCTGGGTCTACAGCCTCAGTCCTGGGTCTACAGCCTCAGTCCTGGGTCTACAGCCTCAGTTCTGGGTCTACAGCCTCAGTCCTGGATTTACAGCCTCAGTCCTGGGTCTACAGCCTCAGTCCTGGATCTACAGCCTCAGGCCTGGGTCTACAGCCTCAGTCCTGGGTCTAAAGCCTTAGTCCTGGATCTACAGCCTCAGTCCAGCCTCAGTCCTGGCTCTACAGCCTCAGTCCTTGGTCTACAGCCTCAGTCTTGGGTCTACAGCCTCAGTCCTGGGTCTACAGCCTCAGTCTTTGGTCTACAGCCTCAGTTCTGGGTCTACAGCCTCAGTCCTGGATTTACAGCCTCAGTCCTGAATCTACAGCCTCAGTCCTGGATCTACAGCCTCAGGCCTGGGTCTACAGCCTCAGTCCTGGGTCTACAGCCTCAGTCCTGGGTCTACAGCCTCAGTCCTGGCTCTACAGCCTCAGTCCTTGGTCTACAGCCTCAGTCTTGGGTCTACAGCCTCAGTCCTGGGTCTACAGCCTCAGTCTTTGGTCTACAGCCTCAGTTCTGGGTCTACAGCCTCAGTCCTGGATTTACAGCCTCAGTCCTGAATCTACAGCCTCAGTCCTGGATCTACAGCCTCAGGCCTGGGTCTACAGCCTCAGTCCTGGGTCTACAGCCTCAGTCCTGGGTCTACAGCCTCAGTCCTGGGTCTACAGCCTCAGTCCTGGGTCTACAGCCTTAGTCCTGGATCTACAGCCTCAGTCCAGCCTCAGTCCTGGGTCTACAGCCTCAGTCCTGGATCTACAGCCTCAGTCCAGCCTCAGTCCTGGGTCTACAGCCTCAGTCCTGGGTCTACAGCCTCAGTCCTGGATCTACAGCCTCAGTCCTGGATCTACAGCCTCAGTCCTGGGTCTACAGCCTCAGTCCCTGGTCTACAGCCTTAGTCCTGGATCTACAGCCTCAGTCCAGCCTCAGTCCTGGGTCTACAGCCTCAGTCCTGGGTCTACAGCCTCAGTCATGGGTCTACATCCTCAGTCCTGGGTCTACAGCCTCAGTCCAGCCTCAGTCCTGGATTTACAGCCTCAGTCTTGGGTCTACAGCCCTGATCCACAGGTGTGAGGGACTTGAAGAACAGGAGGGACATTAGTGTCAAGAAAACATTTAGTTCAGACTCAGACTCTCACCTGAACACTTCACCTTCAGACCATAGGACGACGAGGAGGAGGAGGGATGGGGCACAGCACAGTCTCTCACTGGAGACCTCCTCACACAGGACCCTGAGACCCTCCACACAGGACTCTGTGGTAAATCATCCACCTGTGTCCCATAAACAGCAGACCCACAGTCCAGGTCTCTGCACACAGCTGCTGTCTGCTCCAGGGGCCAGGCGTCATTAGGCTCCACTCGTCTCCACTCTCCTCTGTGTCTGAGCTCCAGGATCCCAGCACAGCGGCTGGCTCCTCCCTCCAGCCTGAGCGGCTCTGACCAACAACAAGAGAGAGAGTGAAGCCCCGCCCCTTACACAAGCCCCGCCCTCACATAAGCCCCACCCCTCACCTGAGCAGATGACGTCCTCACTGGGTCCAGAGGGACAGGTCTTGGGTCTGGAGCGGGGACAGTCCACCAGAGCAGACTCATGGCCTTCACAGTGGAACGTCTGCCCCAGAGAAGAGAGCTCCCCCTGGAGGACAGAAGGACCCCTGCAGCCCAGCTCCCTGCACAGCACCTCTGCTCCCCGCAGGTCCAAGGCCCCTTCACAGACCGAGATCCAGGACTGGTCCCATATCTGCAGTGATCCAGAGCAGAGACCAGAGCCTCCAACCAGCCGCACAGAGTCTGAGACAGAGAGGACTTCATCACACTCTGGACACAGAGTCTGAGACAGAGAGGACTTCATCACACTCTGGACACAGAGTCTGAGACACAGAGGTCTTCATCACACTCTGGACACAGAGTCTGAGACAGAGAGGACTTCATCACACTCTGGACACAGAGTCTGAGACAGAGAGGTCTTCATCACACTCTGGACACAGAGTCTGAGACAGAGAGGACTTCATCACACTCTGGACACAGAGTCTGAGACACAGAGGTCTTCATCACACTCTGGACACAGAGTCTGAGACAGAGAGGACTTCATCACACTCTGGACACAGAGTCTGAGACAGAGAGGTCTTCATCACACTCTGGACACAGAGTCTGAGACAGAGGTCTTCATCACACTCTGGACACAGAGTCTGAGACACAGAGGTCTTCATCACACTCTGGACACAGAGTCTGAGACAGAGAGGACTTCATCACACTCTGGACACAGAGTCTGAGACAGAGAGGTCTTCATCACACTCTGGACACAGAGTCTGAGACACAGAGGTCTTCATCACACTCTGGACACAGAGTCTGAGACAGAGAGGTCTTCATCACACTCTGGACACAGAGTCTGAGACACAGAGGTCTTCATCACACTCTGGACACAGAGTCTGAGACACAGAGGTCTTCATCACACTCTGGACACAGAGTCTGAGACAGAGGTCTTCATCACACTCTGGACACAGAGTCTGAGACAGAGAGGTCTTCATCACACTCTGGACACAGAGTCTGAGACACAGAGGTCTTCATCACACTCTGGACACAGTCTGAGACAGAGAGGTCTTCATCACACTCTGGACACAGAGTCTGAGACAGAGGTCTTCATCACACTCTGGACACAGAGTCTGAGACAGAGAGGTCTTCATCACACTCTGGACACAGAGTCTGAGACACAGAGGTCTTCATCACACTCTGGACACAGTCTGAGACAGAGAGGTCTTCATCACACTCTGGACACAGAGTCTGAGACAGAGAGGACTTCATCACACTCTGGACACAGAGTCTGAGACACAGAGGTCTTCATCACACTCTGGACACAGTCTGAGACAGAGAGGTCTTCATCACACTCTGGACACAGAGTCTGAGACAGAGGTCTTCATCACACTCTGGACACAGAGTCTGAGACAGAGAGGTCTTCATCACACTCTGGACACAGTCTGAGACAGAGAGGTCTTCATCACACTCTGGACACAGAGTCTGAGACACAGAGGTCTTCATCACACTCTGGACACAGAGTCTGAGACAGAGAGGACTTCATCACACTCTGGACACAGAGTCTGAGACACATAGGTCTTCATCACACTCTGGACACAGAGTCTGAGACAGAGAGGTCTTCATCACACTCTGGACACAGAGTCTGAGACAGAGGTCTTCATCACACTCTGGACACAGAGTCTGAGACAGAAAGGTCTTCATCACACTCTGGACACAGAGTCTGAGACAGAGAGGTCTTCATCACACTCTGGACACAGAGTCTGAGACAGAGAGGTCTTCATCACACTCTGGACACAGAGTCTGAGACAGAGAGGTCTTCATCACACTCTGGACACAGAGTCTGAGACAGAGAGGTCTTCATCACACTCTGGACACAGAGTCTGAGACAGAGAGGTCTTCATCACACTCTGGACACAGAGTCTGAGACAGAGAGGTCTTCATCACACTCTGGACACAGAGTCTGAGACAGAGAGGACTTCATCACACTCTGGACACAGAGTCTGAGACACAGAGGTCTTCATCACACTCTGGACACAGAGTCTGAGACACAGAGGTCTTCATCACACTCTGGACACAGAGTCTG